ATTATCGTAATATCATGGAATTTCAGTTTCTAAGTTTCAAATATTTGGAATTCAAATAGTGCTTATTCTTACTACTCCAAATTAAATTTTCTTATTACTTATTTAAATACCTTGTTAATTCCTTGTTCTAAATACGGGGCAGTACAGTATAAATATTATACAAATACTGTAAGGAGTATTAATTTATATGAATGTGTGTGACATGTAGATTGGGTCACAATGTTCATTAAGTGGATGTCTGTAATGAAAAAACTAAAATTTTTGTTAACTTCCCGGATTTTAGCTTAGCCATGAGAAACACTTAACAGAACAGATTAACGAAATTTGGCGACTAAATTTTGTTTTTTCTTTAATTTTTCTACAGCAAAAATAAAAATGGAATTACATGATTAATTATATGTCATATACTACGGGCAGAGATAATTTCATTGTTTTATTTTAACAAATATAAATGAATATTCGGGCAAATAAAAAAAAAAAAAAAAGGCTTAACTTTCTTTGGCTGTAAACGGCTTATAGTGCGACAGTTACGCCTTTGTAAAGAATTTTATTACATGGAAAACTGGATCCTGTTTACGCTGTACTTACGAAAGCTATGAAAACAACCAGGCAGTCAAACGGTTCGCAGAGAGGTCTTTGGTCCACGCTTAATTTTGTCAAGGGGAAGAGAGCGAATTTCATTTCGTTGAAATAAATTACCGTGTAATGAATGGTGTGTGTGCGTGTGTGTGTGGAGTTATGGCAAAGCACACGAGGGCTATCTGCCTAAGGGGAGGGATGCCTTCGTGGAGGACTTTCTAAGGGAAACCGGCTCGTATACACGTTACACATGGGAAAACCACGAAAACGCCCATGCAGCCAGCCTGTTCGCGGGATTCGAACCTCGGACCGAACTACCAGTGTTCAGCGACTTTACCACTCGGCCGCTGGTGGGCCCGTGTAGTGAATGTAAATGGAGTAAATGTTTCATGGGAATAAAATGCTATGCAAATTGAGAAAATATTTATATCCAAGTGTATTTTGGAATATTTTATAGTTGTTTTTATTTATTTAATTACTGTATTTCGTTGAGTAATCTTATGTTTTTACTGCGTATTTTACTTAATTGTGAACTTTTGATCAGCTAGTGTATGTTTGTTGTATGTGTATTTTGCATATTATATTGCCGATCTTTTAATTCTAATTGATTGGCGTTGAAACTATTAGTATAGTTCAAGCAGAACCAAAAGAATGGGCAGAAATCATCCCAATGGGTCTTAGGGATAATTTGTATCGCCAAACTGGCGACATTAGTCGATTTCTGGCCAACTGTGCGACGTCCTGAAAGTTTCCGGGAAGCGGATTTTCGAAACTCTAAGAGCGATTTTGTCCAAGGTTCTAGACGTTCTTATCCGTATTTCAGCAATACTTTATAACAGGAGGCTGTAAACAGCCGACAGTTAAGTAGATCTAGGACTCTGAGCCTGTTTACACAATTAAGCTACTATTCAATAAATGCCATTTTGAATTTTGCTTTGAGGGGTTATTTTGGTGATCTGTGACATTCTTAGGGGAGTTAGGGAGAATTGCGTCTTATTTCTGATTTTCTCCTTGTTTGCCTTGCTGTATAAGTCGTTATCTCAGTAACGATTCAGGTCTTCCTGTTCATCTGGCCTAAGTATTTATGATCTTTACAAAAACATAGCCTGTAACTATATTTTATATTTTTGATCCATTTTCATCCGCACATGTTGCTTTTCGGCTTCATCATACGCATAGCGAGCATCTGTGAGCTTTGATGTTCACTTTTCAACAACCGGAGAATAATACGCTTGCGGCGATGTTTTCTTTTCGCTAAATAAATATTCCGCAGAGCTTTGAGAGTATTATTAACGATTTTATCTCTTTCAATGTTGCCTAGGTAAGTATTAAATCGGTCGTTAAGTATAAAATTTTAATTATTACGCTAATTTCTAAGTAAAATCAAAGGAAAAAATTTAAAAATTCTCATTATTTGATGTTGCAGGCTGACTGTTTGTCAAATGTCTTCAATTAATGAAGTTAGTGCCCACTGGCAACCGAATGGTAAGACCGCTTATCTCTGGTAGTTCGAATCCTGGCAAACGGGTTAGTTGCATGGCCCGATTTTCTCCATGTGTGACGTGAATGTGAGCCAGTTTCCCTGAAAAGTTCTCTACGAAGGCATCCTTTTCTTAGGCAGATAGTCTTCTAGTGATTTAATTTATTTAATGCAGGTATTGAAATTAGTAACTTACTTAGAACTGTGTTACAAATGGGTTAGCTATATAATCTGTGCTAAAATACTATACGCTTAAACGAGCAAATAAGATTCTTTTACTTGTAAATAAGTGTGTATAACAAAGAAGGGGGGAAAAGAGAAAACCATGGGCTGTAACACACAGCTCGGATATATTTGGACTTCTGTATTCTGAAGGTGAGACAAGGAAATTCATTCTTTTTAAACCTTTTTGCAGTACTTTAGTTTCTAAGATTTTACTGTTCTATCAGATAAGTAGTGATGTTTAAACCCGGAAAATTTAGGAAGTCCACTATTTATGAATACGAGCCTATTATCTTCACTGAAATCTCTTCATGAATGCATTCCTCTCCTTAGGCAAACGGCGAACAAGCTGGCTGCATAGCCGCCTTCGAGGTTTTCCCTCTGAGTAACCAAAATACCAGCCAATTTCCTTCAAAACGTCCTCCATGAATGCATCCGTCCGCATAGACAGATAGCTCTGGACTTGCTATGCCTTGATCTACAGGTTATCCAAGAATTATCTTTACAAATTTAAACTTTAATAACTTCTAAAATAAAAAAGTTATTTACATTCTGTTTTCTGAAGTTATTAGTGCAACTCATCAGGTTTCTCATTTCTGTTCATGGATGCACCTCAACATGTGCGCCTTTTGTGGCCCTAAGCACATCCAGTCTCTACTGAATTTTCTGCCAAGTACGCTTCTACATCTCGTCTGCGACAGTGGTAAAAGCATCTGTAGTGCGGCGTTTTAAGTCAGCAGTTGCAGTAACAGGTAGGTGTCTGGTAAACATCATCCATCAAATAACTCGTTTTCGTTTCGTACTATGAACTGCGAAAAATATTGTTTTCTAATAGATATTTTATAATCAAATTACAAAGTGGTGTTTTTTTTAATCGAAATAATTAATTTACAGTGCCTAATGCCGATTTAAGGTTTTGAAAAGACTTTTCTTTCTCAGATATCTTCATACTTCTCTGATTTTCACTACATGAAGATATTTCAAAAGAATTATTCATGAAAGATTAATTTCTTTCCAGTGATATGTATGAAGCCCATAAATGACTTTAAGCATGAATCAACTAAGCCCATACATGAATTAAATACAGTGCACTTTTATGCTGAAACAGTCCGAGTCAAGTGATACTTTTAAATAATATACATGAAGCTTATGTTTTTTAAATGGTCCGTCCTATTATAAAGGAAAGATTCTTCATATAGGATTAAAACTATCAGAGAAAAACAAAATTCAAATTTTGAGCGATAGCAGTTAAAATTGCGAATATCAGCTTCGCATGTTAAATTTTTTAATGCAAATATTTTTCAGATATCTTTTATAGCAAAAGGATACAATCACTTAAATGGTATATTTCAGTTTTTAATTGTAGAAATCATGATATTCGAGATCATTTACCCAATCAAACTGGATTTTTATACCGTTCCTAAAATGCCTATTTCCCTGGTTCAGATAAAAATGGTTACGTAAGATATTTTTTAAAGCCAATTTTATATATTACAGAAACTTTCTTTTAAGGAATTTAAGGGGTAAGGCAAAACGTACCTACTTAAAACTTTCCATGCAGAAGATCAGGCTAAAGATTTAAATTTCTTAGGCTTTTACGAAACATGTAAAGCAATCACAATTATTTTATTGGTTAAGACTGCTGAATAATGATAGTTTGACCCGGATTCGAACCTTAACGAACGGCCTTGTTTTCCTCAATGTCCAACAGAAATACGAGCCAGTTTCCCTTCGACAGTCGTCCAGGAAAGCATACCGTCTTATATGCGGACAAAACCTCGTGTGCTTTATTCAAATAACACAACTTATTTTTTTAACAGGAACCCTGTGCTTACGATCGCTTGTTAAATGGCACAGTGTTTTTAAATAACCTGCGTGAAAACAGTAATAAATATATTACTACAAAAGAAGGTAATATTTAAGACCAGCAATCTTACTCAGGAAGTGAGGGGAGAGAATTTACTTCCTTACAAAATATAAAAGTGTTGGAGAGTTCATAAAAGTACCGAGGAAAAACATTGTACTGAAATAAATAAATAAATACACGTAAGAAACCTTACATTCATAAATGTATAAAATAGTAAAAAAATACATTTCTTTTTTTGTTTACCTCGGTTTTTAATTACGCAGTGCCCTTCATACATGATTAAAAATAAAATTTTGAATCCTCTAGCAACAATGAATTTTAAATTAAAATTGTCTGTTTGAAATTTAAGGAAATTAAAAGCAATCATTTTATATTTGTCATTTCTATTCTATCAGCTCTTTTATACATTTAAATTCTTTTATTTAAGTTGATAAGTAACTGACATAAAAAATAATTTTAAAGATAGAACTGATATTTTAATCAGTTATCCTAGAAGAGTTGAAAGTAAAAAATTTTAATTTAATGCTTCTGGTTGAAATACGGAATAATGTTGGCCTTTTTACCTGGAGAAATGTGCGGCCCTCGCCAACATATTTACTGAATTTGTTCACATGCTATATGTTTGCAATACAATATGCAGAAACAAATTATAATGAAATATGTGGTGAGTTATACGAATTCGAATTTAATTTATTGCCCTGAAAAACAAAATATAGCAAGCGTTTTTTAAGAACAAAAGCAAACAATAAGACCTAAATTAAGCAAACGGAATATAAAAATTTCGCTATTTATATCACAAGGCAAACACTACAGCATATTTATATATACAACGCATACATAACAAGGACTTACCTTTGTTTACAAAGCTTATAATAAAATCCGAGTATCTTAGGGCACCATGATTTCGTTTTCTCGTAGCAACAGCTAAATTCTCATGCAAGACAGCATCGTCCCTCTCAAGAGTTTTATAAATATTCAAGAGGTATCTGGGTGCAGAACTGAAAGTATCATGATTTCGAGGTTTAGGTCTGTGATCAAGGCCCAGCAAATGAAGAATTTCTTCCTCGAGTTCTTCTTTAGTTTCTTGCTGCAGAGGTTCATACAAAATACTTTGTTGACGTCCGTTATCTGCATAGAAGCCTCCGGATAATCCTGACACTTCTACAGAAAAGAAGAAAGTGATCGATAGAATAATAAACCAGCGATTTTCTGCCATTTTGCTACAGCCGAAAACAACGGCACAAGGTAAATAGACTTCCGGTCAGTAGATCGTCAGGTATGCAGCTGTGAGGCTTTTACTATCTTTGAACTCTTCCCCTGAGGCCAAACCCAATTCAGCTTGTGAAATGCACCAAGCACCGTAGGAAGTTTGCAATTTGCCGCCATCTTGTGGCCTTCACGAAAGGACAAAAATATATGACTTGAAGCTATCCATCAATTAGTATTATAATATGCTGTTTTTATTTAGACCATTTTATATTTTTTATGTACAAATATTTTGTATTATTAAGAGCATTTGTAAAGTAGATCACAGTTGCACTTAATTATTAATCGACTTATTTGTTATCGGGAGACAGAATCCGCGAAAAATGATTTCCGGACTGTAATTAGAATAAAGTTACGGGAGCTATAAGTTTTCATGTGCAAGTCAAATGTACATTTACTGTAGTAATACCAAAGAAAAAGTATATTTTTTCACTTGTCTTCATATATTAGTCCAATAAAAGCTATACAGTAAAATATTAAAATACTTTCACTTCCATAAAAAATCTAATCTGGACACCACATGACTTCCTTTTACGGCCTGTTAAATTATACACATTTTTTGCTGCGCTTCATTTAAACGTTTTCCTCGTTTTATTCTCTCTTTAATAACCGATTTTCCCAAACTTCTTAATTTTACTTTTTCATAATGAGCATAAATTTTCTCCAAATATAAGTATAAAAACCGGGAGACCACACTGAATGTTATATTTTGTTATTTGTCGAAAATTATTATTATGTTATTTATTTTGACATTGACAAAACATGAATATTTTCGTCATATAAAACACTTCTGTAAGCGGAAGTATATGACTAAGACCAAAGATATATATATATATATAAATCGGTACCAATCGTACCAGACGTTTATAGATATATTTGGTATTGCAGATTAAAATAAAAAAATCTGATGTGTACACCACATGACTTCCTTGTACGGAATATTAAATTATACGCATTTTTTCTTGCATTTCATTTAAACTTATTGGATTTAATCAAATCTACTTCGCCGACAGCGCATAAACCAAAATAGAATAAATGCATTCTTTAAAATTCACTCTAGTATTTGTTTACCATAGCGACACTCTGGCGCTAGATTCACTTAACAGTATTAATATATATATGACAGTTAACTTATATAATAATTATATAACGGAAACTAAGTTAACTGTTATATAATCCAATAATTATATAACAGTTAACTTATATATTTCGTTCACATTATAACTCATAATGCACCAAATTTATATCATTTAAAGAATAGAATTATCTAATCGTTGCCACATGTTCTGTTCAAATACTATCATAAAGCTAGAATGATGTATAAAAGAAATTAAGCAAACAAAACAAAAAAGAAACAGTTTTTCACAGACGATTGAGTATTTCTCATTTAATTAATCCAGTTCTCACTTTGCGAGAAGGCAAAAATGTATAAAACTCAAAATATCTATATTAAAAATTACGAAGTAAATCTTAAACACTTATTTCCTCGAAAAAATTCCAGAAAGGATTAAGCATGATTTAATTGGCAATAATAAATGAATGCGTTATCTTTGTTGTTGCGAAGCTAAGTGTTTCTCTAGATTGGCAACAAATCCACTAGTCACTGTTTCAAATGTAAACATCAATGGCCGCCATATAAAAAAGGCTTAGCGGCACTTAGACAACTTTAAAATTGTTGCTAATTCTAAAAATATTGCATACAGATTTACTAAAGGCATAAAAACATTAACCGGAAGATAAAAACAACATAATAGAATAATTTTTAAAGCAAAAAATGTACAATTTACAAACATATAAGAGTAAAGAAACTGATATCACTGAGCCGGGTAACAGAGTGGATATATATATATATATAATTCTACTTTAATTAAACTTAGGAGATAATATAATCAATTAATCAATACTGTTTAGGAAATAAATTATTATTAACTAACTTTGCAGCAATTGCGCAAGTAATAATAACTTGGATTCGCACTAAATGGATTTAAGTTCATACAACAATTATATATAAATAAATAAATATATATATATATATATTTAAATTTAAAAAATATAATTCTTAACAAATACGTATAAAAGTAAAAAAGTAAAAAAAGCAAATTTAAATTCTAAAAATAGGAAAAAAGCCAAAATTATTTAAAATAATTTAAAAATATGCAAACTTGTAAAAGATTTAATTCTCGAACTAATCTACAATATCATTTAAATTCAGAAGCATAAGCAAATCATTGAATGATTGGAGAGTTAGGTTTGGAGGCAACTTCCCCTTGATAATCCCTACTCTATAATCATTCACATATGCATTTAAAAAAAAAAATGTTTAATTTAATTTTAATTTATTAAATTAGTAGATTTATTTACATGGATAGATTTTGCACTTGATTTGCTTATGCTTCTGAATTTAAATGATATTGTAGATTAGTTCGAGAATTAAATCTTTTACATGTTTGCATATTTTTAAATTATTTTAAATAATTTTGGCTTTTTTCCTTTTTTTAGAATTTAAATTTGCTTTTTTACTTTTTTACTTTTATACGTATTTGTTAAGAATTTAAATTTGTTTAAATTTAAATTTCATTCCTTGCAGCAATGGCGCAAAGAATATTTAATTAAATATGTTTTTAAATTTAATTTTTTTAATTAAACTCAATTTATTCTTATAAATATATTATATATGTTTGGTGCGGCCGATTGCAACCAAAATACGAGGTGCACATCTACATGTTATAGCAGTCCTATATACAAAATTTCAACGTTCTGAGGCTACTCGTTTTTGAGTTATGCGAGGTACGTACGTACGCACGTACGTACATACGTTCGTACAGACGCCACGAAAATTCTCTTCAGAATTAATTTTAAAGCAGTTTTATAATTTTTTTGAAGGAAAAGTGTATTTTATTCTGTTCTTATCTACAGATATTACGCAAAAACATCGTTAAATTGCATTCGATAGCGGTCAAAATGGATATTTTCATTGAAATATGCTGCCTCAAACTTTTCGCGATTACAATACTTTCTTTTTACTTCGTACAAGGAAGTAAAAAGGCGATGCACAGCTAGATGTCATAATAGCCCTATATGCACGTTCTAAGGCTAATAGTTTTTAGTTGTGCGTGTTACATTTCTGCATTCATACGTACATACATATGTACAGACGTCTCGAAAATGCCCCTTTTAAATTCATTTTACAAGCCTTTTGGGGGAAAAGCGTCCTTTCTTCTGTGCGTACGTAAAGATGTTACGCAAAAAAACGTCCGAATGCACTCGATAACAGTCAAAATGGATACTTCCTTTGAAATGTGTCACGATTACAATACTTCCTTTACTTCGCAGAAGGAAATAAAATCCCTTTCATTTTTTAGTCCCCAAAAATATTAGACATGCTAAAATTAATTCTTTTTTTGTCCGCCCAGTTTGCATAGACAACATTTTATTTCATAATCTGTTAAATAAGTTACAGAGTTTTCTTGAATTACTACAAAATTCACTTACAAAAATTGTCTATGAGTTTGCTAAAAATTGGTAGTTAAACCTCTCCGCCAAACGGTAAATCTGTATGCGGGTTTTCGGGGATTACCTGATATGTAAACGCGAACACAAGGCAAGCTCCCTTAAAAAAAAAAAAAAAAAAAAAAAAACCTCTTTACGAAGGCATTTCCTTTTTTAAAAACTATTACTTATTTATTTAATTAAACTAAGTTATCAGGAAGACATATATTTCTTTACGACGAGAAGCGAAAATTTTTTACGATTTTTTTTAAACACATCATGCATTTTTCACCTGTTAAATGAAGTGCTCTGAAGTTATCATATTGCAAGTTTTTTTTTTATTATTATTTTTTTTATTTTTTATTTGATCGTTGTTCTGTAAGAATGTACAGACAACGTAAAAAGTATCTTCGTTACTTAATTTTTTATCAAAAACAGTGTGTTTTCTAATTTTTATGAAAGTGAAAATATTAAAATTTTTTTCTTACTATATAATATTTGTTGAAATAAAATACAGAAAATGAAAAAAATTTAAAATCTCTCGTTTACTTTAAATGATAAAACATCTAACAGTCAGAACAAAGGACAACTAAATTATATGGGAATTCCAATGATCGAACGAGACGTGTACTCTTAAAAAATTGGAGTATTTAAATATTCATCAGCATGCGTATATTGGTAACTGACAAAATTCTGTATCACTTCAGAAACTCTTTTATTTAAAATTATTTGATAGAAGAAAGGCCGTATAAAAAGTACTTCAATTTTTATTCTTTTAATCTAAAATAAAATTAAACACATAATAGAAATTGTTCCCTTAAATCGACAAATATTTTCGCGTGTAACTGTGGTCGCGTGTAAATAATATTTATTTTCTACTTAATCGCACTCAATAATAAAGAATATCAGCTGGCGATTTCCTCTAATCTCAATTTCATGGCAACCGCTATTTCACGATAAAATCTTCGATAATAATTGGCATAATATACGATCTCATATAAATTATACCTATTTTTCAGATACCATTAAAAGGACATTTCTATCATATTGTTGTGATTTTAAACCTATCATTAAAGCTTTTCATACACTTAGCGTTTATTACAAACTACATTTAAAGAGCAATTTTATTTCAGCTTTTTCAGAATAAAAGGTTGCAAACTGAGCAAACAATTTGCAATTTTCCCTCGTTATTTGAATATTTCCAAATGAAAAAACTTTGCTTAACACGCTTAAAACTTCGAGGTCGGGATAGTTTCAGAAACGATGAGATTTAACAGATGTGCATAAATTAATATTGGCCACTTGCAATTCAGTTTTTTTTTTTTTTTTTTTTTTTTTTATAGAAAAGATATTTAGCCTTCTGATATGTTCTCGTGTTTGGATGGTTCTGATTACCACTTGGAACATTTCATGAATGAATTTTTTGGATTCTATTGGTTTGTTTTAGTTGACAGCGGTAAAGCACACGAGGGCTATGTGCCTTGGTTTCTATTTGAATCTTAAAAACAGCGTGCAATAAACTTCAAAGTAAATTCAATTTCTTTGATAAATATGAAACATGCAAGAAACCAAATTTTCCGAAAATCCTAATCCTCCTTCAGATCAACTGCTTACACTGACGAGGAGACCATATATGGTAAGTAAAT